GCTGCGTGCTACGGTCCGTGTCCCTGCTGTTCTCCCCACCTTTATTAAGAGGCAGTAGGGATCATGGGGACCCAGAGTTGATCCTCCTGCCGGTGAAGGGAGGAGAATGCTGTCAGGAAGCCGAGGGGGGCATTGCGGGAAGGAGAGCTGCGGGACGATCAGCAAATATGTGAAAATATTTACCGATTGTTCCCTATAATATTCAAACATCGCAGTGATCAGTACAATGTTTGTAAATAACTGAGGACATAGTATTGAGATACTGTGTCCCTAATTAGGAATGAACAGGAAGTGTCCTACATCACTTCCTGTTCATTCATGATTGTGGCCATAGTATCTGTTTATATTCTCCTCCATTTATGAATGAACAGGAAGCCTCTGTTCTCCTTGCTTCCTGTTCATTGAGTGCTGGGGCTGTAGAAAAAGAGATTGGCTACTTAGGTACCGAGTGCTCCATTATGGAGGGTGTCATGTGATCCCCCGGTACAGGTAAGTACTGGATATTTGGCAGGACTGAGGAGGCGGATATAGGAAACTACTGACTTACTGCAGTCTCTGCTTAAAGCAGGGGTAGGCAACCTGGGTACTCCAGATGTGGTGAAGCTACAAGACCTTCCTCTGGGGGTCATGTCTGTGGTTGCCAGTCTTGCAATGCCTCATGGGACTTGTAGTTCCACAAGAACTGGAGTGCTGAAGTTGCCCACCCCTGCTTTGAAGTGAGTGGGACTAACACAGGACCATTTTAATGTTGGTCCGGGCAGCTCCAGCTCCCCCACTGCTCCGTTCATCTTAAGAAGTGAAGTGACATAGCTGGTACATCCAGGTAAGGGGCAACATGCGACTCACCCGCTTCTTCTCACACGATAGCACCAGGGCTTTGTGATTGGCTGCTCAGGTATCCATCGCTGTTACATGAGGGTGGGAGGAGTCATAAGCCCAACATGGAGCTTACACAGAGCTTTTCTTCCTCCTCATTACTGGAGAACAAATAAAATGGTGGGGGGCAAAGGGAAGTGGAGGACTGGCAGCTGTTGGTGCCACTGTTAAAGTGAACCTGTTGCTTCACCCTGCGTGGGCAAAAGACAGGTTCACTTTAAGGCATAGGGGAAATGCCAAACATAAAAACCTATAGCAGCCAATCAGAACTTATCTCTTTCCCATCTGACTGCTGCAAAATCTAACCTGATTGGTTGCTGCACATCAATACTGCTCTCTGCACCACCTCTTAGTATTACCCTGTAGGTGTGATTATAAATAAAGGGTTAATAATATGAAAAATCGACAGCAGATTAAAAAAAAAGTCTTCATCCATTAAACACGGTAATCACGTCCCTGCACTGCCCCCACCATTCATACATCACTGACCTGCAGCTGCCTCCCCAGCCTGAGCTCTTCATTCGCAGGACGGCCGGAAGTCGCTCGCCGGAAGCACAAAGCTTGCGTTTCACGGCTGCTTCCTAATGATGCGATCCAAGCCTCAGTGTCGCAGTACGGTTCGCCCACAGATTGGAGGCGCGTCATATCACGTGCTCGGCGGATCAGGAGGCCGCTGGGAGTTGTAGTATTGTAGCAGTTGGCTGCTTTATTAGTGCATGCAGTTGATAGGAAATAATGAGGGCTGCCATGGCGGGACTAATAAGTACAAAGTGTCCCTTCACATGAGGAAAACCAGGGCGACATGAGCTGCTTTGGAGTGTAGCCAGGTGCCGTAGGGGCTTATTGTAGTTGGACATTTATCTATGGATGACATTTCTATTTTCTCCAGGCTGTTCTGGCCACGCCCCCTTCTGTATTCCCCGTAATAGATCAGAATGGGAGGCCGAACAGCATGCCAGTGTTCTATTGAAAGTTCCAACTCCTCGAGATCTCCAAACATCTGACTTCCGGTTTACTTAGAAGTAAGAGGTTTGCCCGAGAAGGCTGTTCTGACCGGGACACTTCGCTGCCGTTCCTGAGCCTCATTACCTTGCCAATACTGCGCATGCGCCGTGGGCGGAGCAACGTTCACAGGCTGTATGCAGTGACCTTGATCGGGCTGCGCTGCTCCTCCTAGATCGATTACGTCACATCCCTGCTTACTTGGCTGACGGTTGGCTGGGTGCTCCGTGGCAGCCTGCTGGAAGAATGGCGCTGCCGCTATGGAGCCGCCTGACGGGGCTGCGAGGTATTCTGTTGACGGGTAAGAAGCACCAGCAGCCGCCCTGCAGGCTCTGACAACTCGCAGCTCTCAGCGTAGTGACATGGACCACATGGAGAGTCATTCCGCTAGAGGGCGCGGAGCTCGGCCAGTTGTCTCTAGTGGCCTGGGTACGTTGTATGACGGCAGCCATCTTACTGTAGTTTATTGTTAGTCATGCAGTATAGAGAATACTTCAGGAAAATGGCTTCCATACAGCGGACATAACTGCATGGATTGGTCGTGCCAATGTTGGACATGCATAAAGTGACCTGCAATAAAAACCTGCAAACTTAAAACAGATTAGTTAGGCATTTTTTTTTCAGGG